GGATATTTTTCTGTCAATGTACAGGTCATTTGTGATGCAAAATTATGTATACGAAACATTGTTGCACGATGCAGTCCGAAGAGCAGTAATAAGATTATTTGCTTAACATGTAAATCTTTTAATTTGGTTTGTTAGAGTTGGCTGTAATATATTTTATATCCAGCTATGTATTGCATAATAAAAAATGTTTTGCATTTAAGCAAATGGATAACACCACAGACTGATAACAGGAGGCAAAGCATGTCACTCTAACCCGTCTCTTCTTCTTCGTTAGATGGCTCTTTCCACAGATTATCAAGCTTTACCTACTTTATCGACTCGATAGCTATGGACCACTAGCTTTGACGTAACGACGCGTTGAGAAACCTACCATAAGTTATAGAACCTACAACTTTATCGGACCGATAGTTATCAAACCAATAAGGGAAATCTACCAGAAACCTGGCATTAGACGGTCAGTTCAGTTTTCCGTTCAGTTTCAATTGCTAGATCTGTTCAACTGTTGGCAAACCCATCGAGCTACAGCTCCGTACCAGTTTCAGTTCTTCCGTCATTTTTTTTTGCATAAAGATACAGATAACTGACAACTGTGCTGAAACTAATACTGAACGTAAATATTACAGGTGTGCGGCACGGTTATTTTTCTGTAACGAGTTCCAACGGTTCCGTTCCACCATGGTAAGAGGTTTTAAAATGCAGTTCCAAAAGAAACATGTTACTTTTTAAATTTTTCATTAAAAATGCAGACTGATGAGGATAGTAGAAATAGAGATGATAAAAGTCGAGAGCGCTCGACGATGCCGCATCGGTTCTGTGACGGACGCGAACCACTTTTTCAGGTTTATGAGACGGTTCCAAAAAAAAAACGGTTAAATCGGCTAGCTGTAACTACGGTTTCAGGTTACACGTTTGAAATACTGTTATTTTAGCGGTTACGTTAAATACCGACCATCCGTAGTAAATATGAACTGACCTAGACGGTCACCTCTAGGTAGGCCTCTAGGTACACCCTGCCATATTCCGATACGGTAATCATTTAGGTTTGTTCGGGCAGCAGCTGGAACTGACAGGAGCCAACATACGCAAGCGCAGTACGCCAAAAGCGTTCGGAGAGGCCGAAGTGAGAATCACGGACTAAGAATTCGACGTTCGCACAGGACAGATTACGATTTTGAACAACGTTTTGAAAACCGTTATATCGATCCGCTAACTCCGAAGACATTTTTTGTTGGGAACTTGCGCTGTACGTTTTGTGTTGTTTGACAATCTGACTTGAAACATATGATTAATATGAGTGTTTTGATTCTGATTCCTTAGGTTTGTTCGGTGAGCAGCCGGAAACCGTTCGCAAATGTCATACGCAAGCGCAGTACGCTAAAAGCGTTCGGTGAGATCAAACTGAGAATCGTGGACCAACTTACGTATTTATAAACGATGCTCAAGCCTGAGTCGAGTCTCAAGTACGAGACTTCGCTTCGATTGTGTTTTATAAATCCATGATACAAGGAATATAAGGTATGATTGATAGCGGTCCAAAACTGGTCCGCCTGTGCGCATGACGTCACTCTGAGAGTTATTCGCTTTTAAACTACATTGCTATGCCGGTAAAAAGATACTTTTTGTAAGATATGTCGCATGATTTAGGTTTTTGAAAGCTCTTTGACGGGGCGAAACGATTTTCAATCAAATACGTACGAGGCAAAACGTTTAATACTTTATAAACCTGTAAAATCGCCTATAAAAGTATATCAGATACAGTTGATTACTACTTGTTTCCATATGAATAAGTACCTAAACACCACAACATTTGTTTAAAAAGCACTAAGCAGAGAAAAGAGATAATCGTTGTCTCTGGCCCCTTGTCTCTGTTATCCCTTGTCTCTGGCACTAAGCTTAAATGGTTTGTAACGGATTCCACTCTGAGTGTGACTTCTCACTCAGACTGTCAATTGGACACAGCTGATGCGCAAGATCATACCTTATATTCCTTGTATCTTGGGACTACCTATTCGCGAGTTCAAAAGTTCAGACGCTTCCTGGTAGCTAAAATTATGACTACAATTTAAGTAGCAAATTGACACTTGTTTTGTTGACATTGGTGTAACATTGGTGTTTACATCTGATGGTGATTTGTTGTTGTTGTTTTGTTCTAATAAACTTTTGCAAGCTTTTAAAKAAATAGAAAAAGATCGAAAAGTGTGTAAGTCTTGTTTWATGTTATAAATGTYATCAACKCCAATAGATAAACAAGTCTGACAAGTCGCAACTGTCACTCGACAACGAGTAACTATTTTTCTGTAACGTTTCAACGTTTCACSTTKSWCCTTGGTWWTCACSKTTTCAAAATGCGSTTYCAAAGRAACATGTTACTTTTTAAATTTTTCATTAAAAATGCARAATGATGATGATAGTAGAAATAGTGATRATAAAAGTCGAAAGCGCTCGACGATGCCRCATCGGTTCTGTGACGGAAGCSAACYACTTTTTCAGGTTTATGAGAYTGCYCCAAAAAAACCTTTAAGTCGGCAAACGGCTGTAGCTGGTGCGAAGTTCGCACAACTGTTTCTGTTTTATGAGACGGTTTAAAAAAAAACTGTTAAATCGGCTAGCGGTAACTACGGTTTCAGGTTACACGTTTGGAACACTGTTAATTTAGCGGTTACGTTAAATGCCGACCATCCCTAGTAAACTGACCTAGACGGTAATCATTCAGGTTTGTTCGGGGAGCAGCTGGAACTGACAGCAACTAACATACGCAAGCGCAGTACGCTAAAAGCGTTCGGTGAGGCCAAAGTGAGAATCACGGACTAAGAATTCGACGTTCGCACAGGACAAATTACGATTTTTAACAACTTTATGAAGAAGACATGCAAACACTGCAATGGAATCTAAATCTTGATAAGCATTATTCAGAATAAAATAACAAACAGCAGTRAAGAACGTGACTTTAAATAACAAATTACAATTGATACTAAAGAGTAATAGCAAAARTAAAGTCACCGTTACATCCGCTTGTTGAAATTAATCACATTCGTTTACAACAAAATAATTAAAATTTTGTTTTYGTCTCTTTACAATTCATTGCTATGAGCATTCAGKCCACCTTATTTACGAATTAGAGATCTTTGGCTTGAAATAAACTTGAATTTTCATATTCTGAACAGCTGCCCAGAGGCAGTAGGAGGRTCAGTCAGAAATGTGTTCGGAGACGCGAAAATTCGCAACGCATTTGAAACGGATGCCGATTTGCGCACGCGTAGTGCTAAATTACTAACCAGTTGACAATTGCTGTGAGCTAACAAACCTACTATTAGTTTAGATTTTATGGGTGTGATATATGCTGGCAAGTGGAGTTGGTGCTGCCACCTATGAGTTGGCGGATGAAGAGTGAATGAAATCGACCACAAACGCTCCAAAAATCAATAGTGCTTAGCAGTGTGACCGAGCCTCCGCCAAAACCCCAGAAACTAACAACTTGGTAACTGCAAGCGAGGTCAGCGTATCGCAGGCCGCAAAGAAGGATTTGCGACGTTACACGTAGAGGCGGTCGATTCACATAACAGAATATCGCCACCTAGAATGGTGTCCAAACTGAATAGAGCTAAGTTGATATTTTCCTTGGACGCGGGGCACCGCTAGATGGACCCATCTGTTGTATCTGTCCGAGTGAGGGCGAACATTGTGGTACATAAAAGAAACAATTTTTTTTAACAACAGTCAAAATCGCGAAAAATGTGGTCGTAACTGATTTAGTGATAATGTATTTAATACAATATTATCATAAGTTCGGCTTTATTGACCGGAAATATATACTTACTAGGTTGATAACTGTAAGTATATCAAGCTATATAAGCAGAAACAAGGGATAACTACAGGGATTATTACTTGTCTCTGATATAAGCTTCCGGCCTGATAAAATTTGGTGAATACAATCATCAGGAATAAAATATCAGATAAATGACTCACCTAACCGAGTTTCACGCGCGTCACCGTCAGGGGCGCTAAACGGATATTCAAAATTTATCATTTCAGTTTCAATTCTATGAGGGGATGTTCACATTTACCTGATGCTTACTCCATTCCGTGTTTTATTAAAACTGCTTGCAAAAGTGTTGATTTTTAACAAAAAATTACATATCTTATCTTACCGACACGCAAAATATATATGCCCGCATCAGTATAAGTAATAGTCAGGAAAAATTTGAACAAGGAAGAACTTTCCATTTTGCAAGATTAAAAACTGTTAAATTATCGTCTACTGGGTGATTCAAAATCTTTGGGTGCTTTGAGAGTACAGGAAAAATAACAAAAAAAATAATTGTTATTCAAAACTGAGATATTTGCAAAAAACTATATCAGAAGGATGGCAACAATGTTTTTCAAGGTCTTCTTCTTCTTTTTTCAAGATAATCTGCCTAATTAACATTATGTAAAAACCTGTTGCTTTGTAATTACTAAAAATTCCGGTAACCATGGAAAAATACAGAGTGGCAATAAGATATATAAGGATAAAAGGTAAATTCAACAGAAACCGTTAACTGTGGAACATACATTTTCGAAAACATTGTTATAATAACCTCGAATTGATGTGTACACCACACGAAAAAACAAACATTTCAGTCTTTAACTGCAAACAAGTTAGTTCCTGTATGTCATTATCAATCTTCTCGAGCAGCGTATCGTATTCGGTTAATTAACTCCTGCTCAATTTGTACCGGTGTTCAGTAAGCCATTGGTTTAATGTGTCCTTGTGCTGTGCGTATCTTATATGCGTGGTTGGAATGTAGGCCTTGTATAATGTAACCCGAGCATCTATTGTCATCCACTATATTCCTGGAGCCAATCTGCAGTGTGTCACAAGGCACAGTTTGACAAATGCTTGTTATTATTGACGAAGGATGTAACCTGTAACTATCTGTTGATGACAGAAAATGTCATTGCCGCTTTGACTTTCATCAAAAAATTGTAGAAGAGAACTTTTTTAATATCAAAAATTTTTGTAGATTGAAGCAAACATTGTAATTTTTCTTCTCGAATGATTAGGCATTTTAATATGCTACCAATTGCGAATGGGACAATTTCAAAATAATGCTGAATGACACAGTTGAAATTCGATTTTCCACTGTTAATATCCTTTGGAAATTTTCTATAGCAATTTTTCAATAATTTTTCGCATTCTCCAAGTGAGCCCCTATTACCCCTTAAAAGGAATGGCTATAGGGGCTCACTTAAGGAATACGAGAAAAATACGGAAGCATTTTTTTCGCAAATTTCTAGAAGCTATTAGCGTATGTAAGATACACAGGACCCTAGAACACATTAAATCTCTGATCTTCGTAACACCGGTACAAATTAAGCAAGAGTTAATAATTATACGAATACACTATAGGATAAAGGATAAATAATATAATAATAAAGGAATGCACGATAAAGTTTTTGGGACACAAACATTTTTGGAGTTAAACGGACAGAACTATGAACATCGCTTGCGATTTAAAACTTACTCGTATTTAGCGTACTTTTTCGAAATGTCAACATGGTTATCATAACCTCGAATTGATGTGTACACTCCACAAATAAATAAACATTTCAGTCTTTAACTGCAAACAAGTTAGTGCCTGTATTATGCATTCTTCTCGAGCAGAGTATCGTATTCGGTTAATTAACTCCTGCTCAATTTGTACCGGTGTTCAGTAAGCCATTGGTTTAATGTGTCCTTGTGCTCTGCGTATCTTACATACGTGGTAGGAATGCAGCCATTCCTTGTTATTAAATCGGTGCCTGGGTGCCGTACGAGTAGCGGTAACGTTAATAAGCATCACGTTAAAAAGCAGAACGACGGTGTTGACATATTTGACTTATTTCTAATATTATTAATGAAATATGCGGCTATAATACAATAAGAAATGTATTGTAAACTTAAATAAGACTTTTTCATTGAATAATTTACGCCATTATTGCGTAATTACGGATTTTATGTGAAACTTGTTTGGGCGAATTTGAACTTTGGCAACACTACTAACATCGCACGGACAGGTTCTAACTTCTAACACATAACCTAACTATTTTAATTTTTATTAATTTTATTTTATTAAGGGTGCAACAACAAAAAAAAGGCGGTATCAAAAACTAAAACCGCACTTTTCGTTATTTGCCTGAACACCTTATTTTTTTACACTGCGCATGATCACAATGACGATTAGTGTTTAAAGTCAACGTAATTTTAAGAAGCCTAAAAACTCTTGGACTGGACTATGGAAACCTGTTAATAACAACACAGCATTAATTTGAACACAATTTTTAACTGCTGAAACGTTCAAATACGTGAAAATAGTAATCAAATAGATGAAAACATCCACTTGCAAGTGGAAAACATGTGTTAAGTATATGGAATAAGAAAAGTGAGGTTGTGTTTCCATTGCTTCGCCCGGAGGCATCAACCTCAATCACGTGATCTTTGTTTGCGGTGTGTTTTACAGTCGTTTCGTTGCAGGCTGCCACGGACGTATGATGACCCGATATTATTTACAACAGGAACCAATAGAAAACGCCAAAAGATTGAAAACACTGATTTTATTCGTGACTTATCTATATGGTCAATAGTGATGCTTGGATTTTCTACATATATATTATTATTTATTTGCTATACACATACAGCTTTGTATATGTTATATGATGCGTTGATCAAGTCTTTAAGTATTTTTGCATCATTAAAGATGCATATGAGTAAGCTCCTTTCATAGTCTGAAAATAATGTCCGTAGACTTCAGTTATTTAGTTTCTGAAAACGTTAGCTTACTATCAAACATGCTTCGTTGTTTAGCTCTCGGAATGGGCCGATGCAAATTGCCAACGGTTTTTGAGCTCTCATCATCATGATTTGCAAAAGCATTTTAACTTGGTTGCTTTGCCCGGTCCAATTGCTTTCGTATATTGCAATGCCAACATTCATGCTCTACAAATACAAGCTATTTGCAAAAATTACTTTGCAATTATACACATAAGTAAACTTTAGCAAAAATCTTTTTTTCTATATTAAATCGGAAAGTAATGTAATTAATGTGAACATTAATCTATGGTAACATATATGCACATATATGAAAGATTAAATAAGTTTATACTATCTATCTATTGCTATTTTGTTAAATATTTAATAAACAAACTCAACTAATATTAAAATTATTTATGAATCTCTAAAACACATTCCTATTGGTTGTGACGTCTCTGGTCATATAAATGGCGGATTGTTTACGTTCTGTGCATAGTGTTTAGTTGTGTGGTTGTGTTTCATTAATTATTTTGTGAATTTAAACACAAACTATGAATTAGTTTGTGTTAAACTAAAAAATCGCAAACACCAAAACAGCAAAAAACAATTCACCATCTGTACATATTTTTATGGTTACCGAATTTTTATTTTATTAACAATAAAATAAGTGGTGTTTTGTGTCAGGATGCAAGAATACCTCAATAAGTGCTCCAAAAAACTCTTTCTAACCGTTCCTCATGATTGTGCATGTAAAATTTTATGGTTGAAACAAGCTAGACGTGATGTTCCTAAATCAAAATCAAAGTTTTTTTGTTGCGAGGATCATTTTAACGAAAGTACGAACAAGAAGCTAATGATGAGGTAGACAGAATATACCTTCGATCGTGTGTTCTGGGCAAATTCTACCTTCTACAATGCACAAAGAACCCTCGCGTTTCAATTCCACATATCCCATATCACCACATTGTTCTCGTGATGCCCAAAATACAAATTTAAGAGTTCATTTTACTTTAGTTAGTTAGGTTAAGTTGAATAAGTAAAATTCTATATATTATTTACCTAATTTATACCAATACAGACAGATTGGTATATTAAGGAGAGAGTAACTAATAATAAATTTACGGATTTTTATGTACGCTGCTGCTTAGACACCCTTAAATTCGGCTGAATTAAAGCGTTCGTCGTTTTTTAAAAATTTCGGTAACCATAAAAATATGTACACATAATAAATTTTTTGTTGACGCTTTAAGGATTCCTTCTGAAGCGATTTTTGAGTTGAACACAAACTATAAATTATTTAAATCCACAAAATAACACAACCACACACCTAAACATTATGCGCAGAACGTAAACAATCCGCCATTTATATGACCAGAGACGTCACAACCAATAGGATTGCGTTTTAGAGATTCATGAATAATTTGAATTTTAGCTGAATTTGTTTATTAATAATTTAACAAAATAGCAATAGATAGATAGTATAAACTTATTTGATCTTTCATATATATCTATTACCATAGATAAATGTTCAGTTTGTAAGAATTTTTGATACATTGATAACACCGTATTGTCTTTTCAATATAGATGTCCACTACCATGACCTCAACATAATTTTTATTCAGTTTTATTTCAGGTCAAAGTTCAATACTTTTGAAGTTGCGGAAAACACTCGAGAACCAAGTTGGGTCAACACTTGGGTAAGAATAAATTAATTTACCTGTGTGTTTACCTCAGTGGCGGTCCATGCAACTATAAAAATCCGAGCCAGGAGGATTAAAGAGTGAAAAATTGAATACATCATTTCCCCACTGAACGGAATCTAGAAATTAATAATGTATTGACAATAACTCTACCACGCCAGTTATAAGCTTGGGGCCTCATCGTACAAGAGATGAGGAAGGCGAAAGCACAGGAGTAACAACCTCGTCAAAAAAACAGCATTCATCTGGCTCGGATGATCTGGTAGCACCCTGTAGGGACTCTTGTTTAGGATTACAGACAAAGACGCTACCTTGCAGTTATCGGCGTTTGATCACCGGAGGCTAGGGGAAGACAACCTCGCTCCTCCTGGTAAAGGGTTGAGGCAGGGGGGCCTATTCCCCACTAGTTGCAAAAAACTCAACTGTTAAAATACGTAGTTAACAGCCTCTGAACAGACGGAGTCGCTTACGACGATACAAGCTACGGAAAAGGATACAGAATTTTGCAACTTGGCATATGCAAGGTCTATCGAAAAAGATAAATGAAGTAATATTCGATCTAAAAATTTTAGATGTAGAATTGGCAGTGCTAATCGATACCGCAAGGAACATCGTGGAAACCAATTAGCAAAATCACAAAGGTGAATATAACCATGCATGAGCAGAAAGTAACAATATTTGTAGTGTATGCGGGTAACGATGACGCCATAGTCAAAAAAAGGACGATTTCTTTGAGCAGTTACATCAGGAAGTTACGAAAGTCAGTCATGGTAGAGAGGTTAAAACACTCGGAGATTTAAATAGCCTTCCAGGGACAAGGCCGTCAGACAGAGTTGTTGGAAGATAGGGACAAAATGCAGTTAATTACAACGGACATAGACTAATAATATTCTGCAAACTGAACGAACTTCAAATTATGAACGGTTTCTTTCCTCGTAAATGGGTACATAAATACGCACGAAACCTCCGATTTGTTATAAACTGCTTTATCGGATAAGGCAGCCCACCGCCCTAGGTATCCACGAAGTCAGTCTACTAGAGGTGTGCTAAACGGTTTTTTTCTGTAACGGGTTACAACGTTTCAGTTCCACCTTGGTAATCGGTTTCAAAAGGAACGTGTTTGTTTTTAAATTTTTATTAAAAATGCAGACTGATGATGATAGTAGAAATAGTGATGATAAAAGTCAAGAGCGCTCGACGATACCGCATCGGTTCTGTGACGGATGCGAACCACTTTTTCAGGTTTATGAGACTGTTCGAAAAAAAATCCTTTAAGTCGGCAAACGGCTGTAGCTGGTGTGAAGTGCGCACAACTGTTTCTGTTTTATGAGACGGTTCCAAAAAAAAACGGTTAAATCGGCTAGCTGTAACTACGGTTTCAAGTTACACGTTTGCAACACTGTTATTTTAGCGGTTACGTTAAAGACCGACTATCCCTAGAGTCTACAAAGGAGCCACATGATAGTGATCATCATCTTTTGATTAGAAGAGTAGACCTTCGAATACGATCAGAAACGTACCAACAAAAACTGAAAAAATAGATTTTGTAAGATATAACCTAGAGGGTATGGACTGCGAAAGCACACGAGAACTGTACAGACGAAGACTGGACGAGAAGTTGCAACTTCAACGGTTTGAAAACACCACAGACCATTACAACTATACTAAGTGATGCATAAAAGAGGCAGTGACGGACGCATCGGGATGCGTTAAAGAAAAGAGATCAATCATCCCACCTTACTGGTGGGATGAAGATAACCATTATTATCCCACCTTACTGGTGGGATAATATAGAGAGGACAAAAATGTACACATGATATATATCTAAGCAACAAAACAGAAGATAGCAAGAGAACGTTGAAAAGAGGACAAATGGATGTCAGAAGGAAAATAGTAAAAAAGACGTGTGAAAAGCGATGTAACACGTTAAACTGCTAATTAGGAGGAACCGAAGGCACCGAAAACCTCTGCCTGCAGTGCTGCTAGATAGACTGAGAAGCCCAATAGTACTGTTGCCGGCCCCAAACCCGGATAAAAGAGGAGGGTTAAGCAAGGGACTAACTACCCCTTCTTGGAAGAAAACGATAGAATTGGAAATTTACGACAATGAAATACGCCTCGAACCCGAASGGATCTCTTAAGACGAAACACGCGACTAAAAAGGACAATGMATTTAGGAACATGAAACTTACTTAGCCACTATAGACCCGGAGCCGCTTCGCATGCCGCTCGAGAGATGGACAAAGAAAGTATTGACTTATCAGCGGTTTAAGACATCAGGTAAACAGGGAATGGAACTCAAAGAGTGGGAAATTTAGTATTATTATTATATAGCAGAAATCACCAGGACAACACCAACTTGGGCTTTATAGTCACGGAGCCCGCCGCAAAAACAATCATGCAGTTTAAGCCAATAAGAGAGCGACTCTGCTATATGAAAGGAGAGTGGTGTACCGACTCTGTGGTCTCAGCTCGTGCCCAGACGGAATATAAAGTCGGGGAATTAAAGGATAAATTCCTGAGAATACCCAAATATGAGATGCTGATTATTTTAGGATACTTTAATGCCAAAGTCGGCAGAAAAGAAGCCTACCAAACAACTGTAGGCAAACATAGCCTTCATGACACCATCAACAACAATATAACCAGACTTGTCGATCTGGTTATATCCCACAACCTTCTAATAAAATCAATCACATTCAAACATAAAAATATGCACAAGGAGACCTGGATTTCAAATGACTGGTTCACCAGAAACCAACTCGATCATGTCCTAATAGATAGAAGACATGGTAGTAACTGCTTAGACCGTAGAAGCCYTAGAGGATCAGATGCAGATACGGACCACTTCTTAGTAAGGGCAAATATTAGAATCAGAATTTTCACTTGCCCATGGCCTAAGAAGGAGACCAGAACAGCTTGAGATACGGGAAAGCAAAAAAGAGAAGACACAAGGAAGATGCCAAGAACAAATAAACGAGCAAATAAAAGAGCCTCAAGACGAAAACAGCATAGATGAATTATGGGCTAACATTAAAGAAGCAATAGCCACGGTATCCAAATAGGTACTTGACAAAAAAAACATACGGCACTTGAAGCTCGGAACCGAACTACAAACAAAATGTTACTACAACCGCACCTAATAGAGAATTATATTTAGACAGCAACACGCAGAATGGTAAAACGGAAACACAGGGAATGCTAGCTGTCAATATTAAGGGAAATAGACAACTGTATAAAATAATATTTTTGCGAAATCTCAAAACAGAAAGCAGGATACCAACCCTGCCTCATGCAATGGAAAATTGTCTCACAAAAAATAATGGAGAACTCATAACCAATGAAAAGCAGATGTTTCTTCTTCTCATTGCGCCGCCCCTCCGAAGGTTTTCGATCCAACAACCAACGATCCTCTGAAGATTTCGGATGATTTTTTAATGAGCCATCTGGGAGAATGCTGCTTTCTCCCTAATGAACTTTGGGCCATAAGGTGATTAATTTCAACTCTCTGGGGGTACAGGTATCGAGCAGCAGAAGTACCGTGAAAGTGGTAGACGCCAGATTAGAAAAGCCGTAAGAGTATCAAGGTGTCTGCAAAACATAATTTGGAAGAACAAATATATGACCACAAGGAGCAAGGCACGAATTTAGAAGACCTGAATCAGGCAATTAATGACCTACACCGCCAAGACAAGGGCTGAAACATGTGTTATAAAAAAGCAAATGAGAACAGCGGAAATGAAAATACTAAGAACAATAAAAGGGATCACATAGCATGACAGGCCGAGTCATGACACAACGAGAACACCAGTGTGTCTATTCTTGACTTTGAGAGAAGGGAGTATTCCCGGGAGCATCCCGGGGAGTCGCTCCTCGCTCACGATCCCTAGCGGAAAAAAATTGTATTCTTGAATGATAGGAATGCCAGTGAACACGCAGTTCCTGCAAGCACTATTGCCAGCTTATCTGACCAATCAAAATTGAGAAAATTTTGACGGTCTGACATGCTTGCCAACGTAATTGATTTACTATTGTAGCGGAATTCGTACCAACCTTTGGTTTTAAAAGAGACATCTAAGAATCATGTTATAAAATAAAATAAAATAAAATAAAATCATGCATTAAAAATTGGTTTTTGTTTTTTAAGCATGGTTTTGTTCATTGCTTCTGTTCCCCATTGAGGTAAAGTAATGTACTACTAAAATGAATACAGTTTCAACTGCTTAAGGATATTCATTTACCAAATTGAAAGTAAAAGAGTAATTTTATTTATGTAGCCGCTTTCCTTCAGCACTTTATAATGAATCGTAAAATAAGTCTTTGTTACTTAAAGAGACTGAAGTAAATGTACCTTTCAGGAAAAATAGAATAGCACAATGAAATCCATTGCAAATTGTGAAAAATCAAGGCCGCTATCGCTCAAGCAAAAGGAATCACTGATAAATCTGTCCACAGCAGGTCCCAAATGACAAGGCTTATTCTTGTGTAGGATCCATAACGAATGTATATTTAATGAACAATAAAACACCATCTCCACAAACTATGTACAAAGATTTTCGGGACTTCTAAACACCTTTACAAATTTATGGTCTGTTCGATCAATGGATATCTTGCCCCAGGGATGTTTTGGAACCCCAAATTATTCCATAGCATCATCCTCATAGCTCAGTTATAATGTCATTATAATATTATTGAATTTCTCAACTTGCATTTTAAAACTAAATTAAGCACAACTCGTTAAAAAGATCGATACACCCGTTCTTCATATCCAAAACATAAACAAATACGATTTGAAGTTGGAAAACCCGCCTTTTCTACTGGGTCGTACCAGTCGATCATTCCCGCTCCCTGGGGAGCGGCTCCCTCTCTCAATTTTTTTCAAGAATACCGTTTCGGCCGACTGTCATAAAACCCCGCCCACTTCTCTCGGCTGTTCTACTCCCTAGTCGTCAAGAATAGGTACACTG